CAGACAAGTTAAAGCAAATTACACAAGTTTCTGGGTGCTGGCAGCCATTAGGTCATTAGGTAATGCTCATGTCTCAGATGGTAGTGCATGTAAGGTGGTCTCATGGTCATTTAAACTCGAATTACAGTGGTAAAACATCACCGACAACAAGCAAGGCAAAAAAAGACAACGACAAAGCAGACATTCACCCTACTCACGTTTGTTACGGTAGAAGTTTCCAGAGATGTTGATGCCTTCACATCTAACCACCACAACTTTGTGTCCTAAAACAAAGAGCAGCAAACAGTTAGAACGTGTTGCTGTCACAAAAATCTCTCCATAACAGTGATATCTGCTTCCTGTCTCAGATGGTAGTGCATGTGAGGTTTTTTCATGGCAGTTAAACTCAACCAAGGCGGATAGTGATCATCATAGACTGAAGCGATGCACTCAGTGGGCAGTTCAGCATTTAGATGTTGTGTTTTCAGGCCACTGAATGTGGCTCAAAAACAACCAGCATCCAAAATTCAAACACAACGTCTCAATGGTTTCTGTAAGAACTCACCCAGAAGAACCTGCTTGGCCACGAGGGCAGCAAGCCGACCGAGTAGATGGCCCCTGCCATCAAGGAGCAGAACCTGCAGGTTGGAAATGCAGAAAGGGACACCGATGTTTTATCTGAACATACAGACATTACTAACTTTGCACAGCAGCAGGCGGCAGCTAACTGCGGCGGAACATTTGCTAATTAATAGCTGGCCGCTGCTCCAACGTTATAGGAAGGCTATGGTTTTAACTGCAAAGAGTAAAAATACTGAAGCAATTGCTCATTTTAAATCCTAATCGAGAACTTAAGAGAAATTTTCCACCGTGAGCATTTTTTTGTAACAGGCACATGGACAGCAGTGGTATCGCACCGGCTAATTCATATCGTTAGCTTAGCGTGAGCGTCAAAGCACGCCGACACGTTAGCTGTAAATTACAACAAGACAGCATGGCTGGACTTTACAGGCCGGTGCCCTCATGAAAGCAAGGTTCAGTCATTTAACGGTTTATATCAGGTTACCATAGAGCTTCCTATACATAGGTATATTAAATATACAACTAGCAGCTAGCCAGCGCGCTAACTAGCTAACGGCATTGACTCGTTAGGGAAGCTGCCATGATGAAGGCATGTTCACTCTGCTCACTCTCACAGCCTACAACATGTGTAAAATACAGTCTAACAACTCCACCGAGCCGAGCAACGATTACACCAAGCTGTCCCGCAGTTATTGAGCCCTACTTCACTGAAAAATAGATGACTCCAATTCGTCAATTTAGCAAATAAACGAGATTATCCTTCGGCAGCAGTTACCCACCTTATTGAACCGGTCCGCCATGATGTGGAAAAGAAAGATATACGGGGCCGCCCGTGGTAAAAGCCAGGGGTGGGCGGAAGTGACGACACAGACATTTCTTTCTCGTGAGATGTGAATTTAGTTCCGAGTGCGGCGGGCGGAACACGTGAGTTCATTGGACGGATTGGTCGTTATTGCCATTTCTAGTTAGTCTATAATCTTTTTTTTTTTTCCACAATTAAAGACGAATATATTCTACTTTTTTCCTCCCGTTTATATTTTTGCATGTACAGGATTTATAGTGAGAATACAGCCCCTGTTTAAAATTCAGGTTAAATTACAGTTATATTATTTTTTAAAAATGAATGGACATGTAAAGGTTCCAGCAAAAAAAAATAAAAAATTGATGGGAAGCCAGTAAAATTAAACAGAAAAAAGGAATGCCTAAATTAATGAAATAGATAAGTAGTGGTTAAAATAAGAGTGAATAAGTGGTTGAAATAGGTACCTAAAAGTACAACAGCTGAGACTTTTAGCTGAAAACATAGATAGGAGTTGAAATGATTCACTAAAAGCATTGACAAAAGTTGAAATTGTGAGCTAAACAACAGAAATAGCTGCTTAAAACTAGGAAGAAACTGTTGAAAATCATTGGCAAAATTGTGACCAGACATGGTGAGGTAACAGCAGATTAACAGCTGGGACTGTGGATAACTCAAAAAATAGCTGCCTTCCCTCAAAAGCAAGAACAAGAAGAAAAAAAAACCCAACAAAAAACACCATCCCTCTGTTCAAACACCTTGAATAAATGGATGGAATAATGGGGCAGGTTCAGGTACCATCAGCCTACCTCACTTTATTCAGTGTACAGCTTGGTAGTGCTGACACATTAATCTGACCTGTGACTGTATTTACTCTGTGTTTATGTCTTTCTTATCTCCTTTATGTTTCCATCCATCCACCTAACCACCATCATCATGTGCAAATTGTCCGAACAGATTTCTGGATCCTATTTTTAAATGTGTGTTTCCTATCAGGTGCACCGTGAACCAGCACCATCACCTTCACTGTATTGATGTTTGTTTGTTGGATAAAGTGTAGATAAATGGTTGAAATACTTGAAGACTGAAATGGATGGATTTTGAAATGCAAAACACAAAGCTGAGGCTAACGAATGAAAATGTAGTTTGACAATATGAACTTTCAAATAATTAAGTGTTGACAAAGATCCAACTTTAGATGAACTTTTTTTATAAAGAGAGGTGGTGTTGATGACGGGAGCAGTGAATCCATCTGACAGGCCTGTGGTGGTACCACAGGAGCAAATATGGCAACTGTAGAGGATTTTAAAAATGATCTTGCTAACATGTAGCTGAAACAGTGAGCGCAGAGGGGTCTTCAGGTCCCTTCAGATAAACTGCAGCCGCAAAAGAACACGATAAACCGAGCTGCTCGAGTACAACTGAAAACTTTAAAACTGAATTTCTTTACACGGACATCACTCTGTCTTACATGCAATCATTTTAGACGGATCTTGACGATATCAGTAGGATTTTGTTGATATTCTCCCAGGCAGTGCAGCAGTGCAGGTTTGTTTGCGGCTTCCTCCGGTCTACAGCTCATGCACGGAGCTTCATACGGTCTAACACCTGGAAAAGGAGTCTTGGTGTCACTGCTAAAAACCACAACTGAAAACCCACTGCGCTGTGCTGCTTTTCTTTACCTGCACATTGACTGGCTTCTGTTTAGCAGTATGTATGCTTGCTCTTTATTTTATAGAGACGGTGCAGATTACCGTTGTACATTAGTCTGCTTTAGTTGGTATAGAAATTTATTGCACGTGACCTTTGTGCCTCAAGACTGGACTGAAGCACTTCAGGGCCTCGTGTTGACTGCCGTGTATGGTTGTATGTCATTTGGTTTGTGGTCACTTGAATAATCACCTTTTTGTTTTGGCATACGACCCACTAACGCAGACTATCAGGTACAGTCATCAGAGCCTCAAAGAACATGATCACATGCTGCATGTAGCCAGAGCTGTATGTCAAAATGTACGTTGTGTTCCTAATATTCTGTCAGTTATATTTGCTGTAGTACATCATGTCATAGGCTGCAGGTGGATCAGTGGTTAGCACCGTTAGCGCCTCACAGCTAGAAGGTCGCCAGTTGGCGTCCCGGTGAGGACACCCGGGATCTTCCTGCGTGGAGTCTCCATGTTCTCCCCGTGCAGCGTGGGTTCTCTCCGGGTTCTCCGGGTTCCTCCCACAGTCCAGAAACATGCTGAGGTTAATTGGTGATTGTAAATTGTCCGTAGGTGTGAATGTGAGTGTGCTTGGTTGTCTGTCTCTAAGTGTAGCCCTGTGATAGACTGGTTACCTGTCCAGGTGAACCTGCCTTCACCCTGAGTCAGCTGGGATAGACTCCGCCCCCCATGACCCTGGTGAGGGTTAAGGTGTAGAGATGATGGATGGATGGATTTCTCCAATTCATATAAAAGCGCTGCAGGTCATTCACACCAGTTAACTATTGTTACGGTTAGTTGACTCGATGGTTAATCCCAAAAGATACTAAATGTGCATTTAGCAAATCAGATTTAAGAAGCTCAAATCAGTGAATGTTTTAGTTTTCCTGAACAAATTACACGACAACTGATTATCAAAATTATTTAATTTTCTGCTCAGCAACTAATCAATACAGCAGTTAAGACTACTAATGCATTTACATGACCATGAATGTCTTTATACATCACACACAAAGCGATGCTGCCACATGAAGCATTAATTATGTTTAAGTTTGTCGACTTTGGCCTTTTGTGAGCGACACACGTCACACCGGTGAACCACAGAATAACGTTGGCAAAGTTGAACGACTCCTATGACAGCATGCCATGGAAACAGTGCTCATTTCATGAACGTTTTTTAATAACTTTCAAGCATTTACAGAACAACCACCATCCACACATTCACGAGCGGCCGGCGACACAGTGCATGCAGCGATCAGAGCAGTGAATAAAGGCGTCTGGGACGGTGAGGAGGACTGAACTTCTGTTTTTTTTTTTGGATGGTTCCATTCAGTCGTCGTGCTTCAGCTTCCTGATCTTTCCCTTGTGGCGGTCGATCTCACGCTGCAGACGTTCGATCTCCTTTTTGTGGTGGTCGATTTCCTCCTGGTGGTGCTGCTTCAGCGCCGCCAGCTGCTCCTGCTCCTTACGCCTGGTGTGCAGACGGAGACGTTCAGTCAGACACCGGACAGGTGTAGGAAAACAAAGGGTTGACATTTGAGTTGTGCAGAACAGACATGTGCTTACTTGAAGTACATCTCCTCCTCGGCAGCCTGCTTCTTGCCCATGGCTCCACCTGCCTCCCTGATGGACCCTCCGCCTCCTCCACCTTTACCTGCACCTTTGCCCAGCTCACCTAACTAAGGCGGGGCAGGGCGGGGCAGAAAGAAAAAATGTTAAAGTTAAACACTCAAGCTCAGGACTACTGGAGATTGTTCTGTGGCTATTCGTTTCTTCAGATTAAACACTTCCAAGTTGTTCTTCAGGTTCAGCTCCTGAGAGGCAGCTGGCTCTGAGACAACCAGCATGTGTTGAAGGTCAAGACTGTTATTTCACAAAGGAGGGGAAAGGCCTTCTGTGTTCACCAGGTGAGCATGGAGGCAGTTGGAACAAACCAGAAACTGTTTGTGCAGAAACAAAGCAGCTGAAAGCTGAAAGCAGCTGGAAGCAGCTCACACAACTCAGCTGTTCAGTGAATAACGTGGTGAGCATTCAGACAGACCTCCAGATGACCAAAACGAACCCTGACACTGGTTTTAATCTGCTCCCCTGATCAGGGCTCCTCGCTTTAATGAATATAAACTTCACCTGACCTACATTCACACCTCCAGCGTTCAGTGCGACACCGTCCCTGTCATGAGGACTGAGCTGGGCAGCATTATGAGGCTACTGGACGGAACCGATGCCCACAGCAGCAGCAGCAGCACCGTAACGGTTCAGAACCGGCGTGTTAACGAGGCGCTGCGGCCGGAGGACGTGTGTTACCTGGTCGGAGGACATTCTCAGCTGTGAGGTGACAAAAGTCCTGATGCTGGGCCTCAGAAACCTCGCCATGGCCGCTGCTTCACGTCAAACAAACAACACGGACGGCGGAGCGTGTCCTTGTCCTCAAAAACACACCAGCGGACGGCGCCATTACGGCAGGACGGGGGGCGGCGCCGACAGATTTACGACTTTTTAATGAGAACAGACGTTAAATTACAGCCTACACGATGATTTATTACTAACAGGGATCCAGGAGATTCATTTTAAATACAAGCATCGAAAAATAAGACAAATAAAAACGCAGTGTCCGGTTTCCGTAATGGTACGGTCTTAAAAATGCACAGCGTTACGTTTTTGACGTAGCTCTTGACCTCACGTTGATATTTAACTTTTTTTTTTTTTTTTTTTTTTAAATCCTTTATTTATTTTATCAACCAAATATATTTTGTGAGGAAACAACTGTTTTCTATTTTCTGTAAGGACCTCAGATATTATTTTAAAACTATACAAAAAAAAGTTTAAAATCCTTAAAAGTACCTTTATAGTTTAATTCAGTGGTTCGCAAACTGGGGGTCGGGACCCCCATGGGGGTCCCAAGATAATTTCAGGGCGTCGCCAGATCCGATTGTAAAAATAAACAAAGATAAAGCCTACATTTATCAAATAACTTTGTACTAGGGCTGTTAAAATTAAACTTCCTCCCACTCCTTTTTCGGACTTGTTAATATTACGATCTGATTATGTGATATTATTATTCTTTTTTGCTCTTTTTAAAATTATTTTCTGTAGTTTTTACATATATTTCCCCCCTTTCATTTGTTCGAAATAAATTAAATTCATTCATTCAAAAGGAAATTAACGTGTTAATATGTAAAGAGATCAATCTGTGGAATTAACACATTTATTTTTAACACATAAACAACAAGACAACTCATACCATATTAAAAATTCAAACCTTGGGGGTCACGAACAGAAACTTATGGTATCTTGGGGGTTTTAGAACCACTGGTTTAATTGATTAATAACCAACAACTGCTAAATAACCGTCATAGATTGGACTGGAAGTTTTGTATATTATATTCATTTTTACAATTAAATATGTTTATTCGATGTCAGTCATGCGTGTCAATTAAGTTCTTATTATTTTTGAGAGTATTAAAGAAAATGCATCATGACGTCAGCGTTGAAGGACAACAATTTCATGTCATTGCTTTTGTGATGAATATTTTGATGTTTATTGTGTTGATTTTTTTGTAATTTAAGTTTTATGTATTTCTTTGGGTAAAGGAGGCAACAAATTCTTCTTTCTGCTGTCTTCCATTCAGGAATGTTTGTGTTTAATTGTTTTAACTCAATGAATGAAATAAAAATGTAATTTAAAAAAATAAAAAAAATGCTAAAAACAAAACTACTGTGAATTAATAAAAGGTCATTAATAAAAAATTAAGTGTCAGTAGTTACCAAATTACTGGCATAATAAAAATAAAGCTTTTTATGGCACACTATAGGAAGCGGACATAGCTCTGCTGTAATGCGCTGAGTCATGAAGTGAAAACAAAATAACCTGCTTTACTTTTCAACAAATAAAACAACAAAATAATGCTTTGAAGGATTTTATTCAATGCTGCAAAGAAAGCACACAGTCTGAACAAACCAAACTCTGGCTCATGTGGTGGAAGGAACCTCGCAGACCCCCTCCCCCCCGGGTCCCCTATAAATACTCTGCCTGCCAGGTAACGCCGGCCCGGAACCAAGAGAAGAAACTAAGAAACGTCAACTTAAAATTTCAAATCACATTCAACAGTTTTCACAAATCACTTCATACATCGTTACTCTAATCACCAAAGTTACATATGTACAGGAACGGCTGGACCCTCGACGGCAAGCAAGTGCTTTAGAAAAAGTAAAATAACATTCCCCAAATTTATGTAGAAAATAAAAGTCACAAGTCTAATCTATTTTCAAATGAAACTTCCCGCACTGCTCTGTCCACAACGTGTCCATCAAAAAGGGATAATCAGAGGCACTCACGTTTTGTCACTGTGACAAAGCATCTGCAGAGGTGCTCTAACGAAACGTCTGAATCTGAGTGGATGACCGGATGAACTCTCTAGAAATCGACTGGAAACACTGGTACAGAAACAACAGCTGCACTGCAGAGACAAACCCAAACCTGGCCTGTGTATCTGTAAAAAGCACTGTCACAAGCATGCATGAGGATTTATCTGTTTCAACCAATAAAATTCATCACATGCTGCAGGACTAATCAGCTTATAAAGCATTAAAATGGTTCTTAAACAGTTGGATGTCATGTCTGCATCACAACAGTCAGGTCTACAGTCTGGAAGGTTTCTGTACGTTTATCTTTGTTCCTTTCATTTATATAAAAAAATTAAATAAAATTTGAATTAAATTGTGCAAAATAAAAGGATTTTCTAAAACAAAACTGTCAGGTCAGTCGCTGAACTCTGACCTGTGCTCTGACAATAGCTTTTTCCAAACACACGTTGTCCAGACGCGTTGCTCACAGCGAGCGCATAAGAGCTGAGAACCAGACGACGGGTCAGGATCACGACTTCCAGGCTGCCTTGTGCTGATATGTTTTGGTTCTGTTTAAAACAAAGTTTCAAGGGGAGCAAAATGGAAAGTATGGCAAGTGAAGAGAAGGCTCAAATCAGATAAAACTAGATGTGTGGGGGGGGGTGGGGGGCAGATATGGAGAAGGACAGCAGGGTGCATCACAGGGCCAGGAGCGGTCTGCGGAGGCCCTTGGGAGGAGGCAGCGGTCGCTGCTCCCCCTTCCAGCCCCGTCAGTCTTGCTTGACGCTGCCCAGCGCTCTGAGGCGCTCCAGCAGAGGAGGGTGGGAATAGTGCCACATGGAGAACAACCAGTCGGCTACAGGGAAGCCCAGGTTGTCCTTGTTCAGTTTGATGAGGGCGGAGTAGAGCTCCGAGGCTTTGCCCATTCCACGTGCAAAGGCGTCGGCCTGGAACTCAAACCTGCGACTCAGGACCGTGAGGCAGAAGGAGAGCAGCTGCAAGGGGAGAGGGAGATGTTTAAACCACTCACAACAGAGGAATTTAATGACTCAGCGATTATGGAATCTGACCTCGTTGTACGGAGAAAAGATGAACTGGAAGATGATCATCAGGCCTATTAATGTGGGTTGGCTTCCAGTGAAGCCGAACGCTACAAACAGCTCCTTCCGTCCAATCAGGACGGCGAACAGAGAGAAACACAGGAAGGAATTCATCTGCAGAGACAACACGTCCGTTATCGTATGTAATCAGAGGAATCAGTCGCTTTGGTTTAAGACAAAACATCCACAGCAGTCATGAAACTAAATCCTCACCTGACTGATGACGATGTTCTTGACCGTGTGTCCGAGCTTCCAGTGGCCCAGCTCATGACCCAGAACCGCCAGAATCTCTGGGTTGTTGCATCCCTGTTTCTTGTTCTGTTGAAGCATTTCAGAGGACGACCAGCTCGATTACACAAACAGACGATTTAAAATAAATCCACTCCAGTCACCCAACATGTGCTTTAACATCATCAAGCCTTCCTGCTCCTCCTCGGTCCCTGAGGCCCTTTTAAATTAAATGATGCTTGAAAATGTCTTCCAGCCTCTGGGATTGGTCCTCAAGGTAAACATTAAGAAGCTTCCGAGTAAATTGGAAGAATTCCAAAGAGTGTAAGTACGCTGATTAACTCGTGTGCTGTATTTTCAGACTATAACGTTCTATCAGTGCGATCCTTCACTTCCTAGAACTCAGAGGACATTCTTACAGCTACACATGTTAAATGTTTATGCAGGTGCAATAAGAACATTTCAGAGTCAGATGAGGAGCTTTGCCACCTTGGGTTTGGCTTTTGACTCGCTGGAGGTTTCCTCGGTCTCCGGCTGCTCGGGCTGTGGTTCTCCAGCCTTGTTCAGCGGCGAGTAGTCCTCCAGCAGGGTGTCAAACAGCACGATGCGCTTGTTCTTGAAGAACCCGTAGAAGTATGCGTTGCTGTGTGACGAACGCTTGGAACCTTGAAATAATTCAACACAATGAAGATGAATTATTCTGATAAACCTTCAATCAAGCTGCTCAGCACATCTTAAAACACGTAACATTTATAAAGTAAAATGACCAGAACAGAAACATCGAACACACGAGTCCACACGCAGGACTCACCTTCAACTACATAAACTTTAGTGAGGGGGAAGCTTATACTCTTTGCCATCGCCTCAATTTCTGTCTTTAGCTCTCCTTCTGGCAGAGGAGTGAACTTGTCGAACAGGGGAGCGATGTAGTCGGCATAGATGGTTACGAGCACCTGAGAACAACACAGAGACAAGGAGGCTGGATTATGATCAACCATCAGCCACTAACTGAGCATACTGTGAATTCATTTAAGCTAACCCCTAACTACCAAACAAGCTGCATTTTCCCTTATTCCATTAAGATATCATTTATTTTAAGTTTTACAGGAAGATGTGAATGCAGCACCTACCAGAGAAACAGCGAGCGTAAAGAGCCAGGCGTAGATGAAGAAGTAGTCTCCACCGATCTTTATGATGTAGAGGAGCAGCGAGGTCACAGGAAGCAGGATACACTGGGTCACGACGAACTTCTTCACAGCATCTTTGAGGAAGAACCCCAACGTCTGAGATGGAGACCAGACAAAACAAAACACAACACAGTGGCATCAGTCAGGATGTGAAACTAACAAACATCTAAACATCTGGTGATGTTTTGAATCATCACGACAGACATCTGGTGAAAGTTTAATTTCTTAAACTGCTGTGGTCCCTGAATTTAAATAGGCTCCAAAGTCTAAGTTCAGAAAGAAGTCCAAATAACATGTTTCTTATGCAGCCTCTCTGGACTCTTTGACAGAACATAGCTGAACACATGACTTCCAGAACAGTTTTGGAGCCTGCATGAGGATGATAGTGAGATACACCCCGTTAACTGCTCATTCTAACACCATGAAATCCAGCACATTACCGCTACCGTTCCTCCTAAAGACAGAAACTACAAACAGCCCCGTATCCAGGCTCAGAAGATGTTCAGCCAGCGTACCTGCTGATTAAAGCCGTGCTTCTCCTCAATGATAAACGTGTTGTACAGACTCCAGGGAAGTCCAGTTATGGCGCTGAACAGCGTGGCCAGCGTCAGGAACACCAGAGACTGGGTGATCTCATACTCTGGACTGAATCCAAAGCGAGCCGTCACAGAACCAGCGACACCCCACAGAAACGGGATTCCACCGAGCAGCAGGATCAGCTGAAAGGTTGCGAGCACAAGATCTTACTGCGTAGCACGAACAGGACACCACGGGCTGTGTTTAACTGAATACACACAGTAGCAAACATTTACAGCAGCACAACGTTCTGCACAGACTGACGCTTAGAACAAACCGTTTACATCAGTCTTTTAATTGACTAGTCGTCTTACCGTCCCTTCAGTCTCAGAATAGAGTCCAGACCAAAAGCTGAAGTTGCTTTTATCCAGCTGATAAAGACGAGACTTCTCAAACGTTTCAGAGTCCATGATCTTTCCTAGCTCCTGTGGTACGTGTGTTGTTGATCTGTATATCCTCCGCTGCAGCGTGGACAGAGATGAGCACAGCGTTAGCAGTCAGTTTATTATGAGGAGTCAATCACACGGATAACCCAACCTACTGTTATACTAAAGACGCTTTATCTTAAAGGCTGTCCGGCATCATACAAGAAGTCGATGATAAACTGACATTTACAGCTTTGTAAATAATTATCAGACCACTGTGATGCCGTTCTCCAGTTTTTGGTGGAGAGATTCTGTGTTTTACTCTTAAGGCTCTTCTGCTGATTCTAAACTGGATGAACACGTTACACACCGAGACAGTTTTAGGTCTTATCGTCATCAGATCTCTTCCTTCAGGCATGGCTGAGTAATATTTTAGTTTACATTACCTGTAGGCACAAAATACCAGAGATCTAGTGTGAATTTTAAAAGGTTTAATACATCATGCATTTAAAACACTATTTACTGCATGTGTTGTATTACTGTAGACGGTTCATAAGACTTTCAAAATAAAAGTAAAATGATCAACACTGAAAGCTTGTTGTGCAGACTTTGTACAGGAACAGCAGGTGGTCTCAGAAACTGTATTCTGACTTCTGATTCTGACTTCTCTGCATCAGTTCCTGTTTCTAGAGGAACTTCACCCAACCTTGAAAAAAAAAAAAAGTCCTAAGATGTCATCTCACTTCACCAAACAGAGAAAAAAAAGTTAATTCTGCAAATGAGATTAAAGGCTTTTCATGTTTAATATGTCCAAACATGAGGACGGTTTTGAAACAGGCTCATGCATGTTTTTATATGTTGAAAAGGCATCTTGTTTGTTAAACACGCAGATCTGTGTGGAGTCACAACAGCTGTCAGGCTTCAGTACCAAAGATCAACCTTGATTTCCGGTGAATTAACTCTGTTGAATTAAAAACTTGTTTGCAAGCCCGGTCGATCACACATTTTAAATTCAGGCTCCATTTAAAGCACAGCTCATGTTGGTCTTTACGGATATGATTCATACGTTTTGAATCATTCATCGGTTACCGGCTTTGTTGATAAATTAGGTTTTTAGTCTCTGATAAATGATTAACTCACCTGTCTGTAGGAAAGATAAGCCTCCCAGAGATACACCGTCCATGAGAATCCCAAAACAGCATAAAAGATCTGCTTCTCCACGGGGAGGTCAAATATAGTTTCGACCATCTTTGCTGTGTTTTTGGTCCGTGTTGTCGGAGCGGGGCAGGCTAGCTGGGCAGGCTAGCTGGGCAGGCTAACGGCAGCCTGACTGGTCGTTAGCGGCTAGCGGCTAATTAGCTTCCGCTCTGCACTGGAACACTTTAAGCTTCAGCTACGGAGAACTCGTCACCGCATTAAAACGACAGATTCAGACTAAAAATGAAACCTTTGCATCCAGTTTCCATTCCTAAGTCAAGGCTAATACTGCCAACATCATTCCATTCCTGCGAGATGCGATCCTCTCGGGGGGGAAACGTGTCAGCGAATTCCGCGTCCGGCTGAAACGTCGACTGTAACTTTGGTTCCGGGGTTGAGCGTTTTTAATTTTGACGATCTCTCTGAAGTTCATCAACAAATATAAAGCTAACAAAATGGATATTATCTCCTGATAGCATATAGCCACTGCATTTTTGTTGTTGTTTTAAATTGTGTAAAGTTAACTGGAACATAACTGACTTTATCTTGTCGGTCTTCTCAAAGGCCAAACAGTGATTCATTTTCATTTTTGGGGCCTTTATTGTCCGCTAGTTGTTTCGTTTGTTTTTAGTCTGCAGAGCCAACAAACTAACGTGGTTATCGTTTAATGAGAAATGTGCTAAGCTTATTTACTTGTCCTTGTATTCCACGAAGCAGCCAGCATTACAGTTTAAAAGTTTTTGAATGTAATTTTAAAAAAGCACCCACCGCAAAAAGCAGCTGTTACATACTAAAACCCACACATTTACCACACCTAGCTTATACACATATCTGAACATTTACTAACATTTCCCTGAATGTGTCTGAAGGTTTATTATTTTGCATTTAGTCAAGAGAAATACTACAGATGAGCTTGTTGGACTTGGATCCACTCATTGCTGTGTCCACGGCTCCTGGTCTGATGAGTGGACTGAGCACTGTGTCGACACTACATCACATTAACAGGTGAAACTAGTGAGACTACATCCTGACAAACCTCCTCCATTCATGCATTCACCTGATATCATGGCAAGCTTTCCGATATTGCCAAATTAAGTCATAACCAGATAAATAACCACACGTATGTACATTCAGCTCTTAGTCTGATAATCCAGGCTGCATATCTGAAAGGCCTGCACAGTGACACGTGTAGTTTTTCAATAAGAAGCTGGAATATGAGACACTAGACTTTGAAATCCTCTAAAAACTTTTTAAAATTAGTGCACTTCAGGAACATATCATTGAGAGTTGAAAAGATGTCGTCAAAGTCACAACACAAGCTCATTTATATCCTGCTGTGTGACACGTTGTGGTAATAACTGTTGCTTAAACAGCGTATTACAGGCAGTGGACATGACACAAAACACTTGGAGCTAATTAGTTCAGTGTAATTTAGCAAACAGCCCCAAAGATGCCTTTAAGTGAGACTGATTAAAATACGGTCGTCAGTGTCTGTATTCATTTCCACATTTATTTTATTAGAAAGTGTTACATACATGTCTGCCAACATCTGTCCACTGCATCCCAACATTTATTTAATATAAACTGAGGTGAAAAATTAACCAAACAAATTCCTCGAGAACTTTGTAAGGAAATATTTTTTAGTCACGTTTTCACAAAAGTGAAAAGGCCTTGCAATACGCTACTGACCATTTCTAACAATCTGAAAAGCTGTACATTTATCTCGAAGAACTACAATATATACACTTGTGATCAGGAATTAACGTAACGTGTGTTATCTGAACGCTCTCATAACCAATGTCTAGAAAACAACCAAACAAAGATTTGATGTGCACTGTTGAAGCTCATTTTTATCTTATGCTAATTTCTACAACTCTTCAGTTTTGGCAACAAACAAATAGCAAAAGAAAAAAAAAACATAACACCTTCATCGTTGGGAGAAATAAAAATACTGATACACAGCGTGTGAAAATACATCGTAATTTGCCATAGCCATGTTAAAAAGGTGCTCAGGTCAACTAACTTCCAAGAAGCAGTTTGCTGTTGTTGGTGTCTGATGGGAAGAGGTCAGGCAGGGTGGTGGTGGACACCGGTCTCCCCAGGACCACCACAGGTCTGAGGTACTGAAGCTGCTTGATGGCCAGGTCCCCACACCCAGCCAGGGCTTTGTCCAGGATGGACTTCAAGTTTTGGACCGACGTGAAGTCCGCAGTCATGGCGTGGGGCTTCAGCAGCGGAGAGTGAGTGCGTCTGCTGCGGGTGTGGGAGATGCCCAGCTGGTTGTTCTCCTTGACCGAACAACTGCGTCTGAAAGCGTCTCGCCGTTTCCCTGGCGACATGCTTTTGTCTTTTGGGGATGTGTCTTGTATGAACTTCAGGAACGAGGATTCGAAGCCCATTGGCTTATAGGCAGCGATGTCAAAGGAGCGCTGAGAAGGGCTGCCGGGCGGGCCGTCTTTTACGTTGGAGGGCTGTTCAGACAGTTCGTTTTTCCGTTTCAGCGGCTGGCGAACCGGAGGAGTGGGTGACGGCGCCGACCCGTTTAACATTTTGCCGCCGTCTTTGATGCTGGATGCGTCTTGGAAGCCCTCTTCAGTAGTAAAGCGCAGTGAACATGGAGGGGAGAGGTCGACAGTGACCGGGCGGAGGAGAGGTTTGATTTTATCCAGGCTGAGTCTCTCCTCCTGTTTCTGGCTGTTCTGTGCTCCTGCAGGCGGGTCCTCAGCGTGCCCTCCTGTGCTCGGTTCACCGTACAGCACCTCGTCTGCTCCAACCAGCACCCCGTTCCTCTCTACGGGTGGCAGCTCCTCCTCCTCCTCCTCTGGGAATCCCAGTGGGTCATGATTATCCTCATCCTGGGTTTCGATCTTGATGGAGTGCAGGCTCATGGGTGCCGGCTGCCCCCCTGTGTTTTCTGCCTCTGCCTGGTACTCCATTTTGCGAACCCCGTTGGGGGTACACGCCCCTGCAACGGTTGGCCTCGCCGACTTCCTTTGAATCAGCTCCTCAAGCTGCTCCGCATTAAAAACAAGCTTATCTTCATTTTTAACGAGATCCTCTCGACGCATGCGGTGAACCTTCAGGTAGTGGCGGTTCAGGCTGTGCATGTACGTGACGACAGAATCGCAGTCCTGCACCATGCATGGATAGGCCACGCGCAGGCAGCGGTCCTGGCACATCTGTAGTGCTTCCTCATGAGATCTGAAGACGAAACGATTAAAAGAATTTCTTTTCTCTTTCTTTTTTTCTCCTGACACCTTCTTCTGCTCCAGGCCCTCGTTACCCATTTCTTCTGACTGGGCCGTGGCTTCAGGCGTTGGACTCGAGCCCTCGGCCTGTACGGGGGGTGACCCGGGCTCCTCCTTGACGGGGCTCTGTGGTGTAACTATAAGCTTCTTTTGGCATCCAGTAACGGACTTTTTGTGAGTGCTTTGCAGACGTACCACTAGTGAATCATAGTACTCACAGTGACGATAAAGTGTGTGTTTTTTAAGTGCGTCGTCGTGGCTGAACACTCTGGTGCAGCCGTCGAATTTGCACCTTATCAGCTCGGGTGGCTGCGAGTGGTAATCGCGTGTGTGTCGCACCAGGCTGCTTTTAAGGTGGTAGGAGGCGCTACAGTTTGCAAAGTGACATTTGTATTGGGGCTGAGGTTCGTCGGAGCTTGGCGGCGGCCTCTTCTTGGCCGGCTCTTTCCTGACTTCTGGACTGTGGTGCACATCAAAATCCTTTTCCAGCAGGAGCTGAGAGCGATTGTAATGATGGACTAACTGCAGGTGGCGCACAAGTCCTCCCTGAGTGGAAAAAGCTGCGTCACAGTTTTTTGCCACGCAGTGGAAGGGCTTACTGAACTTATCCAGGATGTAGCACAGGTTACCTTTGGCTACCAGGCGCCTGGTGGTCCGGACCTGCTGTGTGGACTTATCCTCGCCCTCTTCCTTCTGCTCGCCGTCTTCCTCTCTACTCTCCGCTTCATCCTCTCCTTCCTCTTCAGATTGGGAATGATTGTGAAAGCTTTGTCCGTTTTCGCTTATCGCGGTTGAGTTTTTTGTCTCATGTTGGCGCGGCAGCTTAAGCACCTCTTTCTTCTTCACGCCGAGGCCGTGGTTGGCCATGGGCTGAGATGTTTGCTTCGTCTGAGACGTGAGCTCTTTGCTTCCCTCGTGCCGTACGGCCCCACAGCTTATTTTGTCTACGAAGGACTCATTCAGGTTGTGGATCTGAATGTAGTGAGCCCTCAACACGTGCTTCTGTCTGTGACTCTTGGAACAAAGCTGACACACGTAAGGCTTGAAGGCGGTGGTTTTCAAAGAAGTCAATCTTTTGGCCTGCTCTATGGTGCGGCCGTGTTTGGTGTTGTAGTGGCGCAGGAGGCTGTAGCTCTGGGCAGTCCTGAAGCCACAGCCTTTCATCTCACAGACGTACGGCTTGGCTGTGGCTAATGACTCCACACTGCACTCCTCGTTTGTTTTTGATGCTGGTTCACTTTGGACTTTCACCTTCTCCTCGGGCAGATGTGGTCTCTTCTGGAGCACGACAACAGGAGGCTTTGCCATAATTGCCTGATGAAGAGACATTTGTGACCCGTTTGAGTCTGGGTTGGACTGAGGAGGCTCGCTTGGTGACGTGTGAGGCGATGTGCCGTTTAGGTCCAGTTTACTCAGCCCGATAAGAATTTCTTTCAGAGCATCGTTTTTTGTTTGAAGGCCTACAGAGCTCGTTTCATTGCTTTGGGGATGGGTGGACGCCTTTCTTTCGCTGCCAGCTTCCACGGGTTGAAACGGAGTTGAGAGCTCATTTTTTCCCTTTTCCTCGCCATCTGGCTCCGTTTCAATCTTTATCCCTTTGGACTTGGAGCCCTGCTCTTTGTCATGCTTGTGTTCTTTGTTCTCCAGTTTAAGATGTTCTGGGTGAGCACATTTCAGATGTCTCTGGACATCTCTGGCTCTGGAAAAAGTCATCCCGCACTTCTCAAAGCCACAAGTGAACTTACTTCCATCAAAACACACAGCCACCAGGGTCATGGTTGCTTTGGGCTCTTTGTAATCCAGCTCTTGCACAGAGGAGGCACAGCTAAGTGATGAGGAGTTGAGGACGTCTCCGTTTACAGTGTCTTCTGAATCTATGGACTTACTAAGGCGGGCTGTTGCTTCAGTGACAGTCTTAAAAAGTTTCCGCTTTGCCTTCCTCTGAGCCTCAAAGTCGTCCTCAGAGAAAGTTATGTTGTGTGTGGATAAATGTTTTATAAACTCCTTTTTGGAGAAGTAGTATTTCCGACATTCGCCGCTGGAGCAGGTGAAGGCTGCGTCTCTGAAGTGCTGTGCTTCGTGGTGATATATCTGACCCAGGTCGGAGTAGGTG